ATGGCATTGGCCACGCCCAGGCGGGAGGGATGGGTTTTGCCTCACGGGCCTTTGGTGCGATTGCCATAAAGCGACTCTCACTTGTCCAAAGCCGACCTTGTGGCCTGGTTTTCCAATGTTCCTCGATTTTTAGTCATTGGCCCTAAAGGTGAACCTTTTTTTGTCCTTTGGGCAAGTAAGAACTAGGTGACAGGTTTTTGGTAGAACCCTCCTAGAGGTTTATTGGATTCACTTTCAAGACTTGAAGTGTTCGGAGAACCCCCCAGGTGATTGGCTTTGATTGGACAGGTCTTGCTGGCCCTTTCAAAAAAGACTTGACAGACATGAAGAAAGTATCGTCAGGAACCATGAGGTGCCTTCATCACCTGGAAGTGTGCCGATCGTCAGTATTTTAGGACACACATGAAACTGCACCCCAAGCGGGCGAAATGTCCCTTCATTGATCGTTTTCAGAAGCCGACTGGACCCCTGCAAGTATCACAGTGGTATCACCAGTTGTTTGGGAATCAAGAATGGATGAGGGGAAGCGATAACCACTGCTGCGGTGATTTGATTGACACGACTTCGCGCTACTTGGTGCTTTGGCTTGAACTCCGACTCCAAACCACCAATCCAACTCAGTCCAGGGTAGCAACCTGACCGGTTTCGCCTATGGTCCGGTCCGAGCGGAACCCAAGCGATCGCAGCAAACCGCGCGCGGCTCGTGAGATTCCAGGGACCGGCTGCCGGAGTCGGCGCAGTGGTCGGTGTCCTTCGTGGAGGCGTCGAAGCCGCGGCCTCGGAAGGGTTCGGTTCCGAGCGCCAAAGAAGCGCCAAGCGCCGAAGATGGGGATGGTGGGGGGGGGGGGGAGGGGGAGGTGGCCATGTTGAGACCCCGAAGCCTCAAGAAGTAACTCTCCAAAGCCAGAAGCCGCAAGAAGCGCCTCAACAAGCAACTCAAGGGACATCTTGATTCAGCTCACCTCCGCCCCAACTGCATCCCTCCCAGCTCCAGCCCCAAACAGCACACCCCACTCCCAGGGCCACTCTGCAAAGATGGCATGGTTGGGGGGGGTTTGGATGTTGACACCCAGAAACCTGAAGCAACTCTCCAAGGATGGGGATGGCATGGTGGGGTGGGTGGTGGGGGTGGGGTGGGGGTGGGGTGGGGGTGGGGTGGGGGAGGGGTGGGGGAGGGGTGGGGGAGGGGTGGGGGAGGGGTGGGGGTGGGGTGGGGTGGGGGAGGGGTGGGGGAGGGGTGGGGGAGGGGTGGGGGAGGGGTGGGGGAGGGGTGGCTGGCCATAGTTGATTGGCTCCGAACCTGTGCCCTTTGCGACAGAAAGCTGGAGGGTATGTTTGCTTCCTTGAGGATGTTTGAGTTTGCGACTCAAAGCCAGCTTGAGCCTAATTTGGTTATTTGTTTTTTTTGGGGGAGTCAGTCATCACCCTTTCGTACGTGCCTGGTGCTTCCCAGCAATCCCAATCTCAGCCTCTTTGTTGACAGAAGGTTTTTGACTCCACCTTGCAGGGTATGGCACTATCGTCCCATCCCCCTGTCCTCTTCTCTTAAGCTTTTTGTTGGAGATGCTGAGCCATTGCATGGGCATTTGTTCGGCCTCCGCTTCCTTCATCCACATAAAGCTGCTTTGCCGGGCTTCGATTGTTCCAGCTGCTCGGATCAAGCCCTATGCCCGACCTCCTCACCTCTCAGAAGGGGGCGCCCAAATCATGATTAGAAGCTGGATTTTGGTAGCCATCAACATGCTGGTACAGGAAAAACGATCTATTCTGCCGCACAAGGAGGTTTGGCTGTCGCATGAAGGGCTTTGTTTGATGGATCAGATATGTGCAACCTGCACATTTTGGCAGGGTTGAATTTGGTTGCCACTGCCAGGATCGCATTTCAGGCTGCTGGCAATTTGTAAGACAGGAATTGATGGAAATGCACAGTTGCTTGTCAGACAGCACTAGTGTCCACAACATATTGTAGTTTCTTTGCAGTTTGGGGCATACCATATGTGAGGTTAAGGGCAGACACATGTTCTACCACCCAGCACAGTCATTCTTTGCTCGTTTGAGATCACTTTAGCTTGTCCAAATTGCGGAATCGTCGGTCACTCAGCAAAGTCCAGACTGCTTTGCAAGCAGTCCAAGCGCAGCTGCCAACGAGTCTCATCACATATGCTCTACCGTGAGAGCCGTTTTTCCGAGTCCAGAGACTCTTCAGGCGCGAAAAGTCCCGTCCATGGTCATGTTTCCCCGTCTTCCCCTTTACAGCCAGTAGGCCAAGCGCCATTCAAGCAACCCAGCCTTCGATTTGTTCCAGGGGTCGGCGAAGCGATTTTTTGCGACACACAAGGACTCTCTCGGATGTCGAGTCGAGAGCAATTGCTGCAGCCCGGGGTGCCCCACTGACAGCAGCCTTCTGTCGTTTGGCGGTTTTCACCCTTCATGTTTGGGATGGCGAGAAGCCAAACCAAGCCAAGCGGGGGCGCCCTGATCTCTTCTTGCCTTCCACTTTTGTTGTGTTCATCTGCGGGCTCATCGGCTCGCCAGCGCACAATATTGCTTACCCATGACGCGTTTGCTGAGGGCCCAAGCAAAGAGGAAGCAGGAGGAAGAGCGCTTCAAGCGGCAGGGCGCCCTGTGAGTCAGAGACCGGGGACGCTTCAGTGAAATCGTGGCACCCCGATCTCTATTTCCCGGTTCAGGGCCCTATCCCAAATCCTTCAGGAGAATTCAACCCCTTGACATCCCAAACACCTTAACCCTTGACTGAACCCAAACAAGGTGCAGGGTCCTGAATCCCTCGGTTTTTTTTCTTTCAGTTGCTTCTCTGTTGTATCCAGATGTCCAGCCAGACAGGGGCCGTGTATCCAAATGAGCCTTTGGGGACTTGGCTAGGTTTTGAAGGCCCTTATGAATGCAGAAGTTCGTAGGGATGAGTTCCAAAGGAAACAACGACGCTTTTCTCGCTCACGTGGCGAACACTTTGGGACTCGTCTCTATGGCAGCCAACAAGTTCTTGGATTGTCTCGATCCACATGGCATGCTACGGAAGTTGCAAGCACCTTTCTGCCCCATGGGGAAGATTTCCGCTGTGCAACCTTGCTCAGAAAAAACAGCTACACCTGCAGAAAGACATTTGAAGTCAGTGAAATGGTCGCAGGGCCTCTCCAATTCTTGCCAGTTCTAAGCGCTACCTTGAAGCTGCTCATTTCATTTGCAAGTCCAACAAAACAGAGAATGCAACCACCTTGCAGCTGCCACTGCGACGAGCCCGGCGCTTTTTCTGAGCCCAGCCTCGGAAGCCCCGAGGTGGAACGCTGGAAATCATGACAGCACGGACTTCTTCAGGCCCGGTTGATCCGCCCATTGACGCAAAATATGACTGAGAGGTTTCTGAATCCATAGTCGAAACTTGGCGGTCAGCAAATCGTCCGCTTTTTTTTGGGGTTTCGAGGTTTTGGGGGGGTTTAGGCGGGGTTTCTATTTAACCCATAAGTCAAACTTTTGGCAGGGGATCTGAGGAGAGTCCAGGAAATAATGCCAAACTTTTGCTGGGTAACCTCACTAACTGTTGCCAGTGTAGATTTGGCCAATTCTTGGTTTGCGTGTTAAATTGCACGGCTTGCAGAGGAGAACTGGTACATTGGAGTCCCTCAATGTTGCATGTCGGCGCGAGAGTTTGGTTTAGTTGTAGCCTTTTCTGCGCCATGCAAGAATGGTCCTAATCTAGAAGGCACGCACTCACTACAAGAGCTGGACTGCCGAGCTCAATGTAGAGCCACCTTGGCTTGATACTTCTTGCTTCTCAGGCGCTCGCAAGAATCAGTGGCTCTTGGAGGGCACGCTGGCGACAAATTGCATTGACCTTCACACCATGCCTTGGATGATGCACTTTCATGGGAGGAAAGCTATGCTAGCGGGAGTTCTCTGAGCTAGGTTCTTGGGGCTGAGCGTCCGATGCCTGATGAAAGGGGGGGGGATCAAATGAACTCAGCTTTACTTTTCCCCCGCCGGCCGCCGGCCGCCGGCCCCGCACGAGCATACTCACATAATATTGTCCACATGTTTCTTAATGTCTTGGCAACCCGTGCATGTCATTATTGGGCTGGCTAGCTTTCGTTCAACTTTAATCTCAAGTCTTGCAGGATTGCATGTCTCCCTTATAAGACTAACTAGGTATGGTTGATATCTTTTTTTGGGGCAGATGCCAATGTTTCCTTCCTTGCTGCGTGGTCACCACAGTCCTTTTTTGCGCACAGCTCCGAAAATCGGGAGCAGGATCAGTTCGACGAGTGTGGCCGCATCAAATACCATTGCCTTACGCTCGGAAGCCTTTACCCCGTCAATGCAAGAGGGGGGGTTTGTCAAAACATGGCCCCTTGGACCCTGGTGCCTTGTTCCGCCTTTTAAAGGGGCGACCAAAACTTGGGGGCTCCCAGCCATCCGGTTCCTTAGCCTTTGGGCTTTTTAGTGTTTAGTGGTAGTTTTGCGTTTAAACCACTAAAAGTTAAACTTTTAGCGGGGGATCTGAGGGCAGCCCAGAAAAAGGGCCTGTAATTTTAACACCCCCTTAGATAGCTATCCCATAGGTTCCCGTCTTTCTGCCAGGAAGATGGGTCAGACTGTGGCAGACACCGAGAAGTACAAGGCACAGTGCGGCTGCCTTGGATGCAAGAACTGTGGCTCGTTCTTTGGGGCGAACACTCTGGTAGCTGGGTTTTGCTGCGCGACCTGGCAGAAAGGCACGGTGGCGTGGATGTTGTTTGAAGGATCGTTTCATGTGTACGGGAATCTCTCAACATGTTTGGCAAAAACCTCAATAGCCTGTTTGCCCCTTGAACATCATTGTACGCTTTTTCAGGAAGGCTCAAAGTAGGATCTTGCGAATCTTCGATGTTAGACTGGTTGAGCTGCTCTTCAGCCCCCAAACGCTGCTCTCAGAGCATGAGGGAGTACATCAAGGGAGGGCTACCGCGTACCAAGGGCTCGTTCGGTGAGAAGTCTCGTGAGCAGCCGAAATTTGAGATGCCTTTCTTGAGCCTGTGGAATGGCGCCCAGAAGTTAAGGAGCCTAAAGCAACAATATTGAAATGCCTTGGGTTCTCGTCCCCAAAACCGGGGTAGATTGAGGTTAGGGACGATCTCAACCAAAAATGGTTGCCGCCTTTTGCATTCTCTACATGGAAATGGATAGACCATTTCAAAGCCGATCGGTTTTGATTCTGACTCAGCTGCCCTCCATGACCCATGTTTATATTCTAAGTTTACGGCGGTTTATCGCGAATTATACCCTCCCACCAATTCATCAATTAACACCCAGAACCTGACGTTCGATTCAGGGGGTCCTGGTTTGGGTTCCATCTTCCCTTTAAAGGGACCCCTGACGTGCGTCAGCTCCCGGCGGTTAGTTGGTGGGACAGCTGAGCAAGCTGAGGCCGAAGCGCGGCACTGGCCTCGCCCAGTCGTGCCAAGGAGGAGAAGGTAAGCCTGGAGTGCACCACGAGGCCTGGGACTTTTGGACTTCAGATTTGTGGTGACAAGACCCGGTTGCTTGAGGGTACTAGGGATGACCCATCCACCTGGTAAGGAGCCTTGATGAGAAAAAACACATGATTCCTATTGATGGGACTTTTGGACTAGAGATACTGTGGATGGACCAAATCCGTTCGCACCACTTTGCAACCATGGTTGAAATCATTATTTGTTGGTAATACAAAGGGGAATCATCCTTCCAGGGTGTTTTGGGTGGTGCCAGATTTCGTCCATCCACAGCATGTGGTGAAAAGGCCCGGTTGCTTGAGGGTACTAGGGATGGTTAATCCACCTGCTAAGGAGCCTTGATGAAAACAAACATTATTCATATCGAGGGAACCGCGACTCATGGCACATGTAGACTTGGGATCTGGCATGGAAAGGACTGCTTCGGCTGGATTGAAGGTGGAGCATGCGATACAACATCAAAGCACAGAATGCATTTGCCCAAGTCAAGCAGGCTTTCCTTACTCGTTGTGACCATGCCTTCTGTGATCCGTGCTATTTGAAAGCCAGCAATCATTCAGCAAGATGTTTGATTAGGAATTGGCTACAAGCGCTGGCGCGCTGAAGGATTAGCTTCGTTGATCGCTTCTTGAGCGTCACGCCAGCGCTGTTTCAAACTCTAGCAATCTGCACCTGGAGATCATCCACAAATTCTTGCAACATCACCTTTGTGTTGCGCGACCTGAAGATCGCTGCGGATTGTTCCCAGCTGATATAACTAACTACTGGGTCGTTACGTTCCGTTGCTATGAACTAGTTGCGAGCTTGACTTCAAACGGCATTGGTTCTTCAATCCAGCTCACCCACAACTAGCAAATCTGTTCTGTCAGCACTGCACACCACGGTATGGCCACGCTAGCACCTTAGCTGGATGTTCAAACATGTACAGGTGGGACAGGTGAGGAAAGCAAGTTTGATTACAACATCAGTCATGGGCACGCGTCTTCATTGCAAAGATGTGTTTGCGTCGTATTGCGTTTGGTTCTTTGAGAGGAATGGAAGGGCCCTTCGGTAGAAGAAGGAGGTTCTCTGCGTCCTTCACCCTACAAGGTCAACATTTTTAGATTCTCCGCCATTTGGTTTCTTGCATTGGTTGCTCATGACAGATGACAGATGTTGTTTTTTAAGAGGGTTGGGGAGCGCGGCAAAAATGATGCACGCTGCAACAGGTGTGTCTGAAAATGAAAGTTTTGATGTGGATTTCAAGAGAGCCCAGCAGCAACACCAGCAACAACACCGGCAGCAACACTATCAGGAGAAGCACTAAGCGCAGACAAGAAACACGAGGGGAGTTGCCGGGTTTCTTTTAGGGACGCCTTTGGAAATCATAGCCAAAGTCGGCCGTGTCAACTTTCCAACTGCGCAAGGCACATAGACTTTGCCAAGGCGCAGGGCAGATGGACACCCGCAATGAGAGGTGAACAGCGAGTGAGAACCATAGGTGTCCTTTTGATTTGTTTGGATTAGAAATAGATGGGTTCCACTGGTTTAGATGGGCGGTAAACCCATCAACCCATCTATGTTTCCAAAAGGACACCTGTGCTGAGAACTCTAAATTGATGCAGTTTTCCCGTCTAGAACACGTTATGTTCCATCAAAAGGAGTCGCGTTGGGTGTACTGTTCCAGGAACCCGGGTGGTTGGTGAGTCGCTATTGATTGCTGTGATTGCTGAGGAATGACAGGCAATACCTGCTGTTTCGTGTCATGAGACAAGCTGCCGCTACCTTTCTGCAAGTTCATCCGGCATGATGCTTGTTTGGTTTCGTGGCTTAAGCACGGCGGTCTCAAAAAGTGTGTCACTAAGAACCAGCTGCACTGCTATCGCCCTTCCCTGTTACTCAATTTTGAGGCTTTCTCAAGAGGAGGATGTCAACAGGAATGATAAGATTGGTCTTCGGCTGTTGTCGCCTATGATGCATTCGGAAGTATAGCTTGACATACCTTGGTCCCGGACTTCTGGAGTCCACGACACAAATGCCGCACTCACAAAGGCCGTTCTCGCAAGCGAATGCCTTGCATGGAATTGTGTGACTCGCGCTTGTTGGGCTGCAAGCTTCCAGGTCCTCATGCGCACGCTTGTGTGCTAGACTTCGCAAAGGCCCTTGGCACGGCATTTAGTCTAGACTCTTTTTGTTGACAGCTGACCACTCCACGGCCAAACGCGCAGTGTAGCCACAGAGTATACATGAGTCACCTTTCAAAACAAGAGGGCGGGATGGGCAACATGCTGCTGGGGGTCCCATGCGACTCACGAATGCTTTGATCTGGTGTGCTATGGTTTAGCGTTGGTCACGTTTTCTTGGGACCCCTGGCGGTTGAACAAAAGCAGTGCTGTCATAGGTGTCCCTGTTTCGCTTAGTTTGGATAGAAATAGACAGCACTGGTTTAGATGGGTTGTATTCCTTTTGCCAGAATCATCTAATTTGCCAAGCACTCACCTGAGTGCTGTCTTATGCACTGTTCGAAACATAATTGCCCAGGAAATGTTTGTCTCAACAAATAGTATATGGCCCGACAGGGATATCCGAACTCCCATCCTCCGTCGCAGGCGTTTGCAGACTTCAGCAACATTTGCATCAACCAGGATGCTGGCGAGAAGAACATCAACGCAGATGGCCGGGTGGTTATTTGCTTCTTGGTTGTTCCCAGCCGTCCCCTCTGGTTTTTAGTTTTTGTTGTTGGTTGAGAGGTTGGGTTTCCGTGAAACCCACCAAAAGTTAGTCACATCTAGCAGGGGATCTGAAAACGGACAGCCCAGGTTAGTGTTGAGTGCGGAGTTGCGGCGCTTGAATCTGTTGCCCTTCTCCACGGTGGACTCCCCCAAGACATATTTCCCGGCAGAGGCCTTGCAGGTATGGCTGTGTACAAAGGCCAGCCTCTCCAAATGTGCTACTAAAAGCATTGCCGCTGTTGGCACATCTCAGCAACTTGTTGTAAAATTGCAGTAAACTTGCTGATGTAATTGAGAGAAAGGAATGCCGCAGACCTGCTGGCTGACTAATTTCTGGATGTGGGTCGCAGGTTTCATCCAGCCAATGCTTGAGCGCAGGCAAGAAGCGTTTCTTAATATATCAGGAAGGCACTGGTCAAAGACAGATGCAAGTATCAGTTTACACGAAGGATGCGTGTGTGTGTGTGTGTGTGGTGTGTGTGGTGTGTGTGGTGTGTGTGTGTGTGGTGTGTGTGGTGTGTGTGTGTGTGTGTGGTGTGGCGTGTGTGGTGTGCGTGGTGTGTGTGGTGTGTGTGTGTGGTGTGTGTGGTGTGTGTGGTGTGTGTGTGTGTGGTGTGTGTGGTGTCTGTGGTGTGTGTGGTGTGTGTGGTGTGTGTGTGTGTGTGGTGTGTGTGGTGTGTGTGGTGTGTGTGGTGTGTGTGGTGTGTGTGGTGTGTGTGGTGTGTGTGTGTGTGTGTGTGTGTGTGTGTGTGTGGGTGTGTGCGTGCGTGCGTGCGTGCGTGCGTGCGTGCGTGCGTGCGTGCGTGCGTGCGTGCGTGCGTGCGTGCGTGCGTGCGTGCGTGTGTGTGTGTGTGTGTGTGTGTGTGTGTGTGTGTGGTGTGGTGTGTGTGTGTGTGGTGTGTGTGTGTGTGTGTGTCTGTGTGTCTGTGTGTCTGTGTGTCTGTGTGTCTGTGTGTCTGTGTGTCTGTGTGTCTGTGTGTCTGTGTGTCTGTGTGTCTGTGTGTCTGTGTGTCTGTGTGTCTGTGTGTCTGTGTGTCTGTGTGTCTGTGTGTCTGTGTGTCTGTGTGTCTGTGTGTCTGTGTGTCTGTGTGTCTGTGTGTCTGTGTGTCTGTGTGTCTGTGTGTCTGTGTGTCTGTGTGTCTGTGTGTCTGTGTGTCTGTGTGTCTGTGTGTCTGTGTGTCTGTGTGTCTGTGTGTCTGTGTGTCTGTGTGTCTGTGTGTCTGTGTGTCTGTGTGTCTGTGTGTCTGTGTGTCTGTGTGTCTGTGTGTCTGTGTGTCTGTGTGTCTGCGTGTCTGCGTGTCTGCGTGTCTGCGTGTCTGTGTCTGTGTCTGTGTCTGTGTGTCTGTGTGTCTGTGTGTCTGTGTGTCTGTGTGTCTGTGTGTCTGTGTGTCTCTGTGTCTCTGTGTCTCTGTGTCTCTGTGTCTCTGTGTCTCTGTGTCTCTGTGTCTCTGTGTCTCTGTGTCTCTGTGTCTCTGTGTCTCTGTGTCTCTGTGTCTCTGTGTCTCTGTGTCTCTGTGTCTCTGTGTCTCTGTGTCTCTGTGTCTCTGTGTCTCTGTGTCTCTGTGTCTCTGTGTCTCTGTGTCTCTGTGTCTCTGTGTCTCTGTGTCTCTGTGTCTCTGTGTCTCTGTGTCTCTGTGTCTCTGTGTCTCTGTGTCTCTGTGTCTCTGTGTCTCTGTGTCTCTGTGTCTCTGTGTCTCTGTGTCTCTGTGTCTCTGTGTCTCTGTGTCTCTGTGTCTCTGTGTCTCTGTGTCTCTGTGTCTCTGTGTCTCTGTGTCTCTGTGTCTCTGTGTCTCTGTGTCTCTGTGTCTCTGTGTCTCTGTGTCTCTGTGTCTCTGTGTCTCTGTGTCTCTGTGTCTCTGTGTCTCTGTGTCTCTGTGTCTCTGTGTCTCTGTGTCTCTGTGTCTCTGTGTCTCTGTGTCTGTGTCTGTGTGTTGTTGTGGTTGTGGTTGTGCGTGTGCGTGTGCGTGGGCGTGGGCGTGTGCGTGTGCGTGCGCGTGCGCGTGCGCGTGTGCGTGCGCGTGTGCGTGTGCGTGCGCCGTGCGCGTGCGCGTGCGCGTGCGCGTGTGCGTGTGCCTGTGCGTGTGCGTGCGCGTGCGCGTGCGTGTGCGCTTTCTTGAGATATATGGACATACATAATATACAGATGTGCCAAGTGTGGATACATATATATTGGCTGTTTTTAGAAAGGCCTGTGGGAAGCCACACACAGGAAACCCTAAAATGCGGGCTATAATTGTTTCTAAAAAAACTTAATATTCTATAATTATTTTTCCAAAATCTTAAAAAACATTTAATACGTAAAAACATTTAACATATATATAGTTTAACATATTAACAAATCAATAAACTATTTAATGATTTTGTAGATATTTTACACATGTTTAAAACATATGTCTAATTATGCTGAGCTGTTTGTCGAGCTAGTTATTAGGGCAACGCGGCAATGCACCATATGATCAGATTTCCTTGCGTAAAGTAATATACGATACTGGTCTAATGATGGTGCGGCCTTGTCCTAGCATGAAAAGTATTGATATTTGCTTTGCCTTGTGACCTTGTGTATCTCGGACGCTTGTTCTAGAGCTTAAGCGCCTGTTGTAAAAACGCGGCCTTGCTGGCAGTGCAAGATTCAGCCTTGGTGTTGCTGCGGTTCAATGCGCGCGCCCCAATGCGGTTCCTGGCTCGAATAGATTGACATAATTGATTGAGTCGATTCATTCATTGGCAATTGGTTCAAGTCTCTGCCGGGCATGTAGATAGACGGCAGCTGTCGAATGGAACTTGTAGAGGTTCTTCAAGTTATAAGTCAGCACGCTCCTGCCCGCCCAAATGGTCCAGAGCCAGTTGGCCGTGCGCCGAGCCACGAGGATGTTGGTCGTGGACCGAGCCCCGACTGCGTGCCTAGAGGCCAGGAAGGCGACCGCCGCTTACGAAGGCGCCTGGGCCGTGGCTTAATTGTGGCGAATCGCAAGAGACGAAAGCGGCAGCGACTGCAGCAGCGCAAGGAGCACCAGCTTGATCAGCAGGCTTTGGCCTTCAACAGGAGCGGCCGCGCCAGAACGAAGGACTTCGAGTTTCCCATCCACAAGCATCAGCTGGAAAGGCCGGCGTCAAAGGGCAAAGGTGCCTGGAAGAAATGGACAGCTCCAGCCATCCTTCGAGCCGCTTTTGCGTCTGCCAACACAGCTGCTCGCAGCGCACATGAACAGGTGGAAGGTGCGTCCACTTCACATTCTTCGCACGCCAGGATGGTGGCCGCGCAAAGCATTTTGCGAGGCCAAGAAATTGGAGTGAAGCAGGCCCTCAACACAGACTGCAAACTTTGCATCTTCAACTTGATGTTTGACGAGTCTGGGTTCCAGCTTAAGTTGGGCAAAGGCCAGCCTCTGACAGATTGCTCCGTTTTGTGCTCGCATGGTCAGCTGACCTATGAGCCTGTGGGTGGGCCGATTACAGATGAACACTTGGCAAGACCTCCTGTTCTGCTGCCAGCAATGAATTGGGCCACGCTGTGGTCTGCTTTGAAAGATGGCCTTGTGGCCGAGTGCAACGCTCGCTTTGTCGCAACCCTGGTGTCCTGCGACGCCCACGCTGCAAACGTGGAGATGTTGAGGTTTGCAGAGCACACGTTACCCAGGGAACACTTTTTACTGCCAGTTCTGTGCGCGCAGCACAGAACTGGCAACGTTGTAGAGCAGCTCACTAAGCTCCTCGGCCTTCTTGGCGGAAATTTTTCCGTGACGAAGGCCATGTCACGGCACACTCTGCTGCGGTCCATTCGCGGGAAGGTCGCAGACCGTGTCGAGGCATCGTTGCAGGTGCGCAGCGAAACTCCAGCGGCCACGCTGCGCGAGTGGCAGGCTGCCAAGAGCACAGCGGAGAAGTTGGTGGAGCTCTGCCTGTTCGAGATGCCTCAGTCTGGGCGCCCAGGGTCCCAGCGCGACGACTTTGCGAAGCTGCTGGAGTTTTTCAGCAGCCCGTGGACAGGACAGCTGCGTCGATAGGGGCGGGTGGAGCGGAGTAATGGGGGCACCTGGCTTGGGGGGATGAGTGCGAACTCGATGTTGGAGCGCAGCTTTTGAAAAGTGGGGAATGAGGTCCTTTTAATTTTCATGTCTTGCATTACAAAAGAAGAATTTGTTTGTGTTTGCAGTAGGTGTTGTCTGAACGTAAGTGTGGCTAGAAGGACTGCAAGGCGGTTAACGGCATGTGACATGTGGGCCCCAGGTGGGAAAGCCGCAGCCTTGGGCCCAAGGTTTCCGCAGGTTTGCTTTTTTGCACAGCTGCTTTCTAGTAGAGCTTTGCAGGTCGTGGACCGTGTTCCAATGGCCTTGTCAAAGCCGGCCAGCATGTTTTCGCCGATGGACACGCGGACATCCATCATGCGGAAGCTGACCTGGGAAGGCAAAGCTGGCAAGACTCGTACGGCTGCGTTGAAGCGGTCCGCTGGGCGCGCGACATCTACAACGAGAAGCCTCTAGACATCCATTTATCAACATGGGTTTTTCCTGTTGCGCGGAAAAGTTGTTTTTTTGGGAGGGAGAGAGGGACTGATTGAGTGCGTTTTGACAGCTCATGCAACTGCAGGCACGCCATGCAGGTCTGCAGATCTGATGCTCGCTAACGGGGTGGCGGCGGTCTTGTCGGCCGCTAGCTGGCCAAAGCCCGTTGCAGACCCAAGGATTCAGACTCTGGGAACTTATGACGGCACAGGCCTCATTGCTGGCACGGTCGACATGCTGGCATTGCTGAAGGCCGTAGGCCGTGTCCTAGAGCTTTTGGGAGCCGGCTGCGGCGTGTTGGTGTGCTGCCGCAACGGCGCACATCGTAGCTCCTACGTTGTGGTCATCATCATTGTCTACCTCACCCGCCTACCGGTGGCCGAGGTGGCCGAGTATGTGGCAGCCTTGCGCAACATTGTGCAGCTCTCCGAGAACCACCCCT